CCAAATTCTGCAAATATTTCTGTTACCTTCAGTCCCTGATGGAGCGTCCCCCCAATATGTGGCCTCACATGTGTCCCTGACCTCTGTTCCCCACCCTACATGAAATCTTGTTCTTGAGTATCTCACTCTCAGATGAGTATCCCACACCATTAAATCTGTGACACAATGAACACTTCTCATCTGTGGTGAATATTCATTCATGTTGCCATTGTTCCTCCTTCCTGCCTTGCCCAGTGTGCATATCTGATCTACTGAGTCCCCCTCCCTTGCAAACATTCTTAACCCTGTCTCCCCTTCTACCAGACTCACCTATTAAAATCCTGACTAGGGGTGAACTAGATTCTCTACCTTCTCCATACCAATATTCCTCACCACAGAAAAGGGATAAAATTTGGAGATATAAATAAAAATAGCTAATTGGTAGGATTATACAATGACGTGACTGCTATGGAAAATAACACTGAATTTCCTAAAAAGAAGTTTAAAGAATTTCCTAAAAAAGAAGCTTCAAGAACTGTTCATATAATTCAGCAATCCCACTTTTGGGTGTATATCCATGAAAATTAAAAGGGGAAACCTCAAAGAAATTTACATGCAGCACATTTACCATCGCTAGGAAGTGGAAGCAGTCTAGATATTCATCAGTGGATGAGTGGATAAATGAAATGTAATAGACACATACAATGGGGCCGGCGCCACGGCTCACTAGGCTAATCCTCTGCCTTATGGCACCGGCACACCGGGTTCTAGTCCTGGTCGGGGCGCCGGATTCTGTCCCGGTTGCCCCTCTTCCAGGCCAGCTCTCTGCTGTGGCCCGGGAGTACAGTGGAGGATGGCCCAGGTGCTTGGGCCCTGCACCCCATGGGAGACCAGGATAAGTACCTGGCTCCTGCCATCGGATCAGCGCGGTGCGCCGGCCGCAGCGCACCGGCTGCGGCGGCCATTAGAGGGTGAACCAACAGCAAAGGAAGACCTTTCTCTCTGTCTTTCTCACTGTCCACTCTGCCTGTAAAAAATAAATAAATAAATAAATAAAAATAGACACATATAATGGAATATCATTGAGCCTTTAATAAGAAGGAAATCACTTTCTACAAGGTGAATTTGCCTTGATATTATTCTAAGTGAAATAAGTCAGTCACAAAATGACGAATACTGTATATGAGGTATCTAAAGTAGTCAAGCTCACAGAAACAAAGTAGAATTGTGGTTGCCAGGGGTTGGGGTGTGGGGAGATGGGGATAGAATTTGTTTTCCAAGATGAAAGAGTTCTGGAGATCTGTTTAACAATGCTGAATATAATTAACACTACTTAACTGTGTTCCTAAAATGCTTTGTGAGAAACTCTGCACTATATTTTACAAAGGTTAAAAAGTGAATACACTGTCGGAGCTCCAGTCTGTGATGGTGCTGAAGCCATAATCTCTTTCTCTGAGCATCAAACACGACATCACACCCACAGTCAGTATACATCATTAGTGGGTGGCAAGGTCAAGGACTAGCTCGGTTCTCTTGGCCCAAGCTCAAGGTTCATTCAGAGGCTTTGGGTCCAACTGAAGAGAACAAGAGATGGGGGTGGGCTTTTTTGGTTCAGGATTTAACATGTGGCTGGGGAAACCAGCATCCCACGCCAAAGTGTCTGGTTTTGAGTCCCGCCTCCACTTCCCATCCAGCTTCCTTCTTTTTTAAACTTATATGAGGTGAACAAATTTCATATACACAGATTTAGGAGTATCATGATACTTCCCACCCTCCCCTCCCCCTACCCATGCTCCCGCTCTCCTTATTTTTTTTTAATTTTTACAATGACATATTTCAGTTTATCTTACCATCATAAGCATAACCCTCCAGTAAGTAAAGAATTCAAAAAATGGCAAGAAAAAAAAAAAAAGCACTGTTCCTCAACAGTAGAGACAAGGGCGGCAAACAATAATTACATCTCAAAACTTCAAAGCATCTGTAGAGAAATCTATGCAATATATAATTTGTCCAGATTAGTTTTTATTTGAGGAAAGAAGTTCTGAAATGTATCTCAAAGGCAGTTACTCACCAAATGAAAGTCCTCCAAAAAGAGAACTGTTGGGAAACTTTGATATGTGGTGGTGGAAAAAGAAAAGCTCCCTCAGTTTTTTGGAGGGGATAACTTTAAAAAAAAATACTTAATGGTTAAGTTTACTTGGTGCAGTAAAGATTAAACTTTTCAATTTTAACATTGCTGTTACATCTGAAATAAACTTACGTGATGTTCTGGTTTAAAAAAAAAAAAAAAACCTTCTCTCATACCGGTTACTTTTTTTATACTGTATTAGTTACCACATATCAGGGAAAACATGGTATTTGTCTTTTTGTCACTAAGTATGAAAACCATGGGGGCAGCAGATGATACCTCAACTACTTGGTATCCTGCTACCCACGTAGGAGACCAGGTGGAGTCAGGATCCTGACTTCAGCCTCGCCCAGTTCCAGTTGTTGTGGGCCATATGGGGAATGAACAAGTAGCTGGAAGATTTCTCTTTCAAATCACAATAATTTTTTTAAAAAAAGAGAAGTTAAGAACCAGCAGGATATTTCCCAATTCCTTCTAAGATTATTCTCTAGCAACTAACTCAAAACTAGTGGATTTTCTAGCTATGCGCCTAATACGGAAACATTGGCTTCTGAGTTGTCAGTAGGTTCAAGACTTTTTTTAACCTGCAAGGGATATGCCAGAGATTAAGACTTCAAAGCCAAGAATACAGAGGGTCAGAAGTGGTATCTTCATCCGGTCATCAGGAATCTCCAAACGAACTCACTGCCATCATCACATGGAAACTATGAAAGCCAGTCCTGAGTTTCTGCATTTTATGTAGTAACACACACCTTTGTTTTGTTTTTCAACTTTCTTTTTTGAGGTTTCCTGGTTGGGGATCAGTAAAAGCAGTGAAACCAAATACATGTCTTGTTATCAGTCTGAATCCTGGAAAACCTCCATGTTACCTGGTCAGTGTTCGCGAACTTCCAAGATAATAGAGAAGCCACAATGATTTGTGGCTCAGTGACTAATCTGTACAAAATTCATCTCAGCAAAAAAGGAAACTAAACCTTAAAAAGCAAATTACAGGGCCGGCACCGTGGCTCAATAGGCTGATCCTCCACCTAGCGGTGCCGGCACACCGGGTTCTAGTCCCGGTCGGGGCGCCGGATTCTGTCCCGCTTGCTCCTCTTCCAGGCCAGCTCTCTGCTGTGGCCAGGGAGTGCAGTGGAGGATGGCCCAAGTGCTTGGGCCCTGCACCCCATGGGAGACCAGGAAAAGCACCTGGCTCCTGCCTTCGGATCAGCGCGGTGCGCCAGCCGCAGTGCACCAGCCGCGGCGGCCATTGGAGGGTGAACCAACGGCAAAGGAAGACCTTTCTCTCTGTCTCTCTCTCACTATCCACTCTGCCTGTCAAAAAAAAAAAAGGGGGGGTGGCAAATTACAGGGGCTGGCATTGTGGCACAGCAGGTAGAGCTGCCACCTGCAACACCTGTATCCCATATGGGCACCAGTTCAAGATCCAGCTGCCCCACTTCTGATCCAGCTCCCTGCTAATGTGCCTGGGAAAGCAACAGAAGATGGCGCGAGTCCATGGGCACCTACACTCATGTGGGAGATCTGACTCCTGACTTTGGCCTGGCCATGCCCCTGCAGCCATTTGGGATTGAAGCAGCAGATGGCAGATCTCTTTTTTCTCACCATTGAGGGCACTGCCCAGTACAAATATAACATGAGCCTCATATGCAATTTTAAGTTTCTGGAAACTTCATTTAAAAAGGAAACAGAAGCAAAAAAATTCATGGTTTAACCCAATATATCTAAACTATTCTGATAGCAAAACAATATTATAAACATCGACAAGACTTTTATATTCTATTGTTCTTACCAAGTCTTTGAAATCTTGTATGTATTTTAGACTTACAACGTTCCTTAGTTCAGACAAGTGCGAATGTATCACACTAGCAGCAAATTAAAATTTGTGCTCATTAATCAATAAGTTACAGAATCACCTTCCAAAAGTTCTCATTTGCCACATTCAATCTCAAATCATTACTGTGTGCACTCCCTGGAACCTGAGGATGACCCAGCACCCCATTCAAGAGCACCTTCTGTCTGGGCCCCAGCACGAACCACAGCAAGGGGGCATTTACTCCTCAGTGTTCCACACGCTGCAGAGATGGGTAGAGCTTCTGCCCCGATACACACCAGTACATGCGTACACATTTACGCACACATGTGAGTTACTATCTATGCATTTGATTTGGGGGTGGGGTTGCATTTTCCACTCTTTGAAGGATGAATTGTTTTGTTTTTCAGACGAGGAAATGACATACAGAGCCATCACAGAGCTGGCAAGGGGAGGCCTGGGAAGCCCAGAATTTAACTCTCAAACCTGTGCGCATTATCACCCTGGGGGTTTCAAAGGGTATAATGGGGTGGCAGTTGGAAAAAGGACATCTTTTATGGCCACAAACACAAACTGCTCTAAGTCAAAAATCTTCACCCACAAGATGAAGCAACATTCCCTAAGACAGAGAGGGATGGAAGGCAAGTAGAATAATTTAGACTGCCCTCGAGATGTCTTGTGGGAATTACAGTAATGAAATCATCACACTTGGAAGGAAAAAATGTGTAACAATCCAAGAGAACCTAGAGTCTAATAATGGAGAGAGAGAGGGAGGGTGGGTTGATGAAGGGATGGTCTGATGGGTGGATGGGTAAATGGATGGGTGGATGGATGCATGCATGGGTACACAGACAGATAGACAAGTATCAACCCAGGCTCAGCAGCGGAGATTATAAAAGGTGCATCTCTCTGAGCACCCCAATAGGGTCCTTTCATGTGGCTGACATCACACCTGGTGTTCTCCAAGGCAATCTGGGAACCTTGTTCTCATCACAGGACAAAAGCTGCAGGGTGAGCTGTGCAGAGGGCCTAATTACTTGCAGGGGTTCTGCAGTCTGGGAAGATCAAGATTTCACTTACATGTACTCCCTATGGGCAGAGTGTACAGCGGCCGCGTTGCTGTACCGCCACAGGACGATCGCCGACGACAGGACGTCGAGGATGGCGTCGAACTAGGAGAAGGAGACACACCATTAGTGGCTTTCCAGAGTCAAGAGGGCCCGACTGTGAAGATGCAGGGCAACTGTGCTGGGACTCGGACTATCTGACGGAGTGACCCCAGAGCAAAGACACTTCTATGGTTACGGCACAGCCACTGGTGACCCCCAAGGGGAAGCCGCAGGAGTCTGGAGCCTGTGCTCCCAAAATGTGGCCTGGTGGCAGCACCACAGTCCCTGTAACGTGGCAGATTCTGCTTCTGGGGCCCCAGATCTCAGCACTCCAGAGCTAAGGGGTACAGATGCATAGAAGGTTGCATTGCTCTGTAACATGTACAAGTGGTTTCCCCATGACAGGCCAATAACTTCATCATTTCCTGCATGTCCCAGGAAATAAGGCTTTGGGGTGGGGATTCTGCCTTGAGCTCTCAATGGGACTGGGGGCTGGGGGTACAAGTGAGGGTGACCCAGGGTCCCAGGAAATCTGCCAAGACTTTGAAATTAGATGCAACAGTCCATGCTTTTGTTTGAAGGAGAGCCAAAGAGCAATTGAGTGCAGGAGAACACATGAGCATGTGTGTGTGTGTGTGTGAGAGAGAGAGAGAGACAGAGACAGAGAGACAGAAAGAGAGAGAGAGAGATGTATGTGTGTTTCTGGGGGGTTGTCCACTTCCGAAGGGTGGATGTGCACTTTTATCGATAGTCTGCATCCTTCATAGGATTCCGAGAAGTATCTGCAATGCTCTAGAACACCAAGATCTTACATCACAGGACCGCAGTGCACTTGAGAACAGGCACGCCTCCCCTGGGGAAGGCATGGCTACAGGCGCACAGGGGGAAGGCTGGACGGAGCACCCTGTATGAGTCATCTCACCACACCACACTTCTCATTAGGAAAGTTACAAGCACCAGCTCTTTCTCCAAGAGCCATGAGGCAAAGTCCCCTAATCTTTCAACAGACCCGGCCTAGGAAAACAGAGACCTGGCTTTCTGGGACCGACTTCTCCAGGAGCAGGCGGGGCAGCCAGCTGACCTCTGGCTGGGCTACACGCATGTCCGTGTGTGCACCCTGCCTACACCAGCCGATGGCTCACTCTGGCGCAGGCCAGGCCCACGTACAACCCGGAAGGGAAAGGGGGCCCAAAATCTCCCAGAGCATCCTCTCAGCCAACCACACTGTGGCAAACGTGGTGGCCGCCATCTGCGCTTGGGAACCATTTAGTCCTCACAGCTCGACTTCTCATGGATTCGGTTTCAGTACCAGCTGTGTTCCTCCTGCTAAGTTCTCAACTCCAACCACACTCTGCTCTGAGGGCGGGGGCAGGGTCTGCGGGCTCAGCAAACACGTGCAGGACTTCAGGGAAGTACGTTTCAGGTTACTTACTGCAAACCCAAAAGCAGAGGCGCTGTACCTCATAACGGAGACAGCTAAAAAGAAAGAAAATAGCATTCAGAATATTTCAAAAACCTCAAGGACAGTTTGGCTCATTTGTGAGTATATTCGCACATCTGATATGGCCTTGGAAACAGCAGTGGGAAGGTCCCAAGAGGATACAATTTAAAAATTAACCACCCTTATGGAATCTGAAAATTAAACCAAAAAAGTACAGAGTGAACAGAATAGCTTTGCAGACTCCAAACCACTTCTGTGCCCAGTGTGCTCTCAAGCTCCATAGGGTGGGCTCCAGGACGAAAATGCTGAAGCCGTTGCCACTCAAAAGCCTCCTGTGACTTTGAGAATTGAGAGACCAGGAACAGAGAACTAGGAACTGGGTAAGACTTTCCAAGTGACACAGCAATAACCCAGACTGTTTCCATAATAGGGTAGTGAGCACCAGTGCCTCATGCACACACCAGTGCTAACAGCTGGGAAAGGCTTCCGCCCCCAGAGTTTAAAATCCAGTATAGGCACCAGTACAGCTGTTCACAACAATATAAGTGAGCTTTAAAAAACACACGTCTAGGGGCTGGCACTGTGGTATAGTGGGTTAAGCTGCCGCCTGCGGTGCCAGCATCCCATATGGGCGCTGGTTCTAATCCTGGCTATTCCACTTCCAATCCAGCTCTCTGCTATGGCCTGGGAAAGCAGTGGAAGATGGCCCAAGTCCTTGGGCCCCTGCACCCATGTGGGAGACCCAGAAGAAGCTCCTGTCTCCTGGCTTCAGATCAGTGCAGCTCTGGCCATTGCGGCCAATTGGGGAGTGAACCAGTGGTTGGAAGACCTCTCTCTCTGCCTCTTCTCTCTCTGTGTAACTGACTTTCAAATAAATAAATAAATCTTTAAAAAAAAATAAAGAACACACGTCTAGAAAAGAGGATGCTATAATTACAATTAAAATATATTCTGTTTACATTCAAAAACTGGGGGGGCAAGTCGATTGGGTAGCACTTCTGCCTCATTCTGTTTTGTGCAGAAATTATATTCAGGGGCTGGCGTCATGGTGCAGTAGGTTAATCCTCCGCCTGCGGCGCCGGCATCCCATATGGGCACCGGGTTCTAGTCCTGGCTGCTCCTCTTCCAGTCCAGCTCTCTGCTGTGGCCTGGGAGGGCAGTGGAGGATGGCCCAAGTGCTTGGGCCCCTACACCCATGTGGGAGACCTGGAAGAAGCTCCTGGCTCCTGGCTTCGGATCAGCACAGCTCCCACCATTGCAGCCATTTGGGGAGTGAACCAATGGAAGGAAGAACTTTCTGTCTCTCTCTCTCTCACTGTCTAACTCTACCTCTCAAATAAATAAATAAAATCTTTAAAAAAAGAAAAAGAAATTATGTCCAGCTTCAAAACTTGTTCTTCAACTGAATTAGGGCAGCTCTCCAAACAAAAGCCGTATATCGCAGGCACAAGTCCCTATCCATTGAAGACAGGAACAGTACCCCTGGGGCCAGTAAGCTCTGAAATGGCTCCTCCCCGGCCAGGGGCTGCAGCGGGAGAGGTGGGGGCAGGAAACACAGAGGTCTGACCCGTGTGGACTTCCACTCAGCTTACACACAGTCCCTTCTGTGGGACCTGCTTGCCTTCCTATTCACAAGGTTCAGAAACGGGCCCTGGGAGGCCATGGTACACAGGCTCATAACAGGGTCATCTGACCCAAAGTGGACCAGTTTGTAGTTTGTGCCTTAGAAACTGAGACTGGGAGAGCATCTTATTGGTCAACGTAATTAGAATTCTTGTACACACTGGAGGCAGCATCTGCCATCGTTTGCTGTAAAGACAGAAGAGCAGGAAGGCAGGGATGGGGCACAGGCAGCAACGGGACAACAAAAACCACCGGCTTCTGAACACTGCCAAGCCCTTCCCGACACTCACCCACAGTCCAGTCCTCCGGCTATGAAAGGCGACAGAAACCACTAAATCCTTGACCCTTTCTGGTTCTGACAGGAGCTGCTCCCAGTGTCCCTGCTGCTCTGACCACCACAGGAGACAGCAGGGCCAGCTGTGCACTGTGGCCAGCTGCAGCGTTCACGCGCAACACAGACGCGGTGCTGTCCAAGGGCACTGGACCTTCTCAAGAACCCCAGCTCCTGGCTGCAGGGGCAGGTGCAGAAGAGGCAGCTGATCCCTGGGGAGCTGCCCTGAGCACCACGGATGCCCTATAGAATGCTGAGCCTGGCTCCTAGGCAGTGCTCAGCCTCTGCTAGTGTGGGGTAGTGACATTTCACAGAAACAAGTCCAAGAGGTACCTGGACTTTTTTTTTTTTTAACCCTGCGCTTTTCCAGGGGCTGCTGCTATAACAGCAAGGGCAACCTTTTAATGTCTATTAGCGTCATGTGCAGATGCTCAATCTTTTTTTTTTTTTTTTTTTTTTTTTGACAGGCAGAGTGGACAGTGAGAGAGAGAGACAGAGAGAAAGGTCTTCCTTTTGCTGTTGGTTCACTCCCCCCAATGGCCGCCACGGCCAGCGCACCGCGCTGATCCGATGGTAGGAGCCAGGTGCTTCTCCTGGTCTCCCATGGGGTGCAGGGCCCAAGCACTTGGGCCATCCTCCACTGCACTCCCAGGCCACAGCAGAGAGCTGGCCTGGAAGAGGGGCAACCGGGACAGGATCCGGCACCCCGACCGGGACTAGAACCTGGTGTGCCGGCGCCGCAAGGCGCAAGATTAGCCTAGCAAGCCACGGTGCCGGACCGATGCTCAATCTTTTTAACAGAGGAGGATGGTTTCTTGGCTGGAGTGTCTACTCCGAGTCTACCTGTGCCTTCCAGCCTGGGCCACGCAGATAAGGCACAGCTGGAAAAGTGCTCCCTTCCATGCGCCATCACAGACGACCCCGGAGATTATGAGCAGGAGACCACTGGTGTAAAATATTGGCATCTAGGGGCAGGCATTTGATGCAGCCATCAAGATGCTGCTAGGGATGCCTGCATCCCACACTGCAATACGTGGTTCAAGCCCCTGCTCCTCTGCTTCCGATCCAGCTTCCTGCCAATGTGTATCCTAGGAAGCAGCAGGTGGGTCCCTGCCACCCACCTGCAAGACCAAGACTCGGTTCCAGATTCCTGGCTTTGGCCCAGCCCAGCACTGGCTTCGCAGACATTTGAGGAGTGAACCAGCAGATGGGAGATCAATCAATCTTTCTCTCGCTGCCTTCCAAATAAAATTTAATTAATTTTTTTTAAACAAGAGATTGCATCTGATTGCATTGAAAGATCAGACATTACATACTGTGAGGTTTCCTGGACTCACTCAGAATCTAATACCCATGATTACGAATCTTCTCAGAAATACATGAGAAGGTTCTTCTGGTGTGAGTGAGTGAAGCCTGCCCAGTGTACATGTAACTAAGGCACAAGCGGTCTATCAATACTGCTTGCACCAAGAGAAGCATGAGGGCTCTGGGCAACCCACAGCCTTCAGAGAGGCCCATCACTCACTTGTGAGTTGCTTCCACCTCCTTTCCTTGATGATACAGGAGAAGAATGCCACAACTTGCATGGGAATCAGGACAGCACTGGAGGGCCCTCCACCCGGCCTTGCTCCGGCAGCTCCCCTCGGAGGCCAACTCCAGCTCTCACTACTGAGCAGCAGTCAACAGCCACTGGCACAGGAACCAAATGCAAGAGCTCAGATAGCCTTTCAGGACTTTCTGAGGGTTGTCAGCTAATAACTGCATTGTCTTTAGCCCATCACTCACTAAGGCGCGTCCTAATTCCCAGATAAGACTGAACTCAATGGAGAAGATTCGGTTAGCGTAGACGGCTACTGCTCTCCTTGAAAGGTGTAGCAAGTTGTGGGGTTTTCTCAGGATGTCCACAGCTTTCTTCATGCAAACGCTGAGTTCCTGGGCCAGAATGACTACCCAAGGCAGGAATGACACCATAGGCGCCTCTGGAGAGCCAGGCACACCTAACTGAGTGTAGCCAAAAGCCACCAGAGAGCCAACAAAGTCCAGCACCTGCCACAGAGGATGGCAAAGCCCTTTCAAGATCAGAAAACAATGCTGCACACTGGCAACACTTGCCAAGAGCCAGGCAAGCCAGCAGCCTGCAATCGGAGCTCTCCCGTGAAGGCAGCCCTCAGACAAAGCAGGGGCCATGGAGGCGAAGGTACTGAAGTCACCTTGGCCGTCAGCCCATCAGTGCAGGGCCTGGTAGCAAGCCCTGCAGCCGCTCCAGAATGCAGCACCTGACCAGCAGCCTCCAAGTTCATCTGGAGAGCACCTTATCAGAATCCCCTAGGGACATTCTCGACAATGTTTCTGCTCCTCACGTTTAGAACCTGTTTTCATTGCTCATAACTTAACCACACACTCAGGGAGCTGGTGGCGACTGACAGCCTACAAGGTAGGCAATTATAGGCTACCAATAGCTTCGCTCGATTCTCCAAGGACTGGGGGCCTGGGTTCCCCACCTCTTGCTCCCCCATGGTGACGATGCAAAGTGTTACCATTGGATTAGACTGGACTGACATTAATCAAAAATACATGCCAAGGATGCAGCCAGGTTCCTCTTTCTTTATCTGTAGGCTTTTTTCTTTTTCCTAAGGCACAGAATCCTCCAAATGCTCATAGAAAATGTGGAGAGCTATTGGTCAGGGCTTGCCCAGGTTCTATTCCCCACACTGGAGACAGCATCCCGACTCTCTCCTAGGGGAGAAAATGGCACCTGCCCGACCACAGACAAGGTGATGTGGGTATGTGAACATCACCCCTACTCTATCTATCTCAGTAACTCATCCCACATCCGAAGTTAAGGATTCAAAGGTGGCACAACTCAGCCTGAGCCCATGAGAACCTGTCTCAAATATTCTGCTAGAAATATTAAGTCAGGGAATGTCTCCCTCAGAGGGGATTTTAGAGCTGGTAGGAGGAGATCTTGAGGTACATAAATAGTGTGTTTCCGAATGAAGTCAACACACAAGAAGTAGACGTTCAGGATAAGAGACACTGATCGGACTCCTGATAAGTTCAACTCCGCCTGAAAACCGCCCC